ATTTCCTGTGGAAGCGGCGTGAATTCAAGGACCTAAAAGTCTGGTCGGGTGCTTTGAGCGTTTTTGGTTTAGAGTTTGTTTGTTGTTTTATTTCCTTTTAATTTTCCGAAGAAAATGTCTCGGAATGGCTTATATGCTTCCACCGACTAAATCCACCACTTCTGGGGAAGGCATTACACAATCGGGGCAGTTATACAAACCTGGGTTATTTCATAACTTGTTTACATCAGCTGGCCTAGCCTCACTGTTGGTTTTTTTTTTTTTTGCTTTTTCGGGGTTGTGCTCCCCTCCCTCCCCTCAGTATTATAATTTCTTTTGTGGCTCGTATGAGCAAACTGGTAGCATGACCACGTTGCTGCCTTTGCATCAAGAAGTCATAGGATCATTTAAAAAAAAAAAAAAGGGAAGAAGAAAAAAAAAAGTCTAGTCTTAAACTTTGCCAACCGTACCAGCCCGTGACATTCCTCACATTAAAGAAGTTTTACCAGAAATGACTCCCCGCCGCTCCCCGTCTGCTTCAAGCACATCTCGCTGGTGCCCTCTGCGGGCTGCGGATCGAGTTTTCCAGGGATTGCAGCTCGGTTCCAGCTTATTCCCAGTTTTACAGTAAATGTCAGGACGAGGTGGGGGAGCGGGAAGAGGGGGCTGAGAAGCTGGAAACGCCCGGCAAGCTGCAAAGCCTTCACCCTCCCCTTTCCTCCTCTGATTCAGCAGCTGCACTGGATTCAAGCACTTGCTGCAGGAGGTCGTGAAACTCCGGCACCGCTTCACGTTCAAGCTGTCGAGGTCTGACCGATAACCGGGTTTTCCCCTTTTCATTTTCGGGGGCTGCATGTCTTCCCCAGGCAGTTGGCATGCGTGACACTTGGTATGGAGGCCAGAGCCCAGTTTCTAGGGTTACTATCTGAAATGGGGCTTTGAGCAGGACGCTGGCTTAGCGAGAACATAAATGTTTTCTTTAAGAATCCAGGGGATTTCTCAAGGCCTTGTGCGTTGTCTTTCCCTTGATCCTTACAGATGTTGTAGATTAGGATCAAATGTAAGCGTTGCCTTTACCCTGGCAGTCGGGCTGTTCTGCTGATTCTGGTCAGTAGAGATCTCCAGAGTTTTATCGCTACAGAAAATATGCATTGTAGACATTTTTTCTTTAGTTTTCTTTTTTCTTTTTTTTTCCTTCCCAAAGCAAGAAAAGATGCATCGGTCACATGTTTAAGTGGAAACTGTGTCTCTGAGCCAAAACTTTGATGCTTTTAATGATTTTTCCCGTACAACACGGCACTGGAAAATTTTTCTTTTAACTTGCGTGTCATGCTATTTTCCTCATCACTGACTTGCCGTGTGGTAAACGTAGACTTTAATGGGAAGAGTTTGTGTACTCTTTCAGACGGGTTGTCACCTTTCCCCTCAGATATCCCAGCACTGTGTCCAGTTTTCCTTTGAGGAGATGTTCAAAATGGGGGAGCCATCAGGGGGCTTGTATTTATTATAGGATAGATCCTATACATTCTGTAGTGCTACAGACCCTCTGGGTGTTTTTGTGCTGGTTTTGTTGTTGGGTTTAGTTTTTTCCCATGGTCATTGCACCGTTTTCCAGACCAGTTTCTGGTCCTGCTGAGCGCATGCCTTTACTGATGTAACTGAAGGACTGGAGGGGATTGGAGCAGAGACACAACAGGGTGCAGTATAGAAACTCCTTGTTAAGATTGAGAAGGGAACCACAGAGCCAAAGCCCGAAACATTCCTGTGGTGCCTGTGCACCTAAGCTGTGACCTGCTAACATAGCCTGTCCCTGTGTGTGGCAGGACTCACTGGAGACTCCCTCAACTATGGATTGGTGGAGGCTCTTCTCCAACCTTTGATTTTTAAGGCAGAACAGAGACTGACCTCAGTTCTTGGCACTCTTAATAACAGGACTCTTTCTGTTTGCTGTTCAGTTGTTGGGGTTTTTTTAATAATACCTTCATCTGCATGTTGCTTGGGTCAGGAGGAGAGTGGTGGCTTCGTGGTTGAGCGCGTGCTGCATGTGTAGCCCTGCAATCTGGCTATCGCTACATCTTTTCTGTGCTGCTGTGAATTCCTCGCAGATAAGGAGAAGTGAGAGCTGGCAAAGAGTTGCATCCAAGAGCCTCTCCCAGGTCAGGAGAGGAGAGCTGCGGGTGTCCTGGGTAAGGAAATGGCAGGAGGAGACCTGGGAAGAGGAGAAACAGGGAAGTGGGTGAGGAAAGGCAGGTGCTGCCAGGGGGACCGAAGCTCTCTGAAGAGGGAGTAAAGTTGAGGCTGCAGTTTGGGGAAAGGTCTGGAGCTCCAAAGTGGGAAGACTGGTGCCCAAAGGGGCTGTGCAGGGGAGATGGCAAGGAATTTGGGGCCTGCCACTGAAACCAGCAGCATCCCAGGGGTCAGAGCTGACTGCTGCCAGGCAGTGTGGGTGACCAGCAGCATTTTGGCACACTGAAGCTGATCCAGTGCAATGTCCTAGCAGGGAAAGCAAGGTGTGTGGGGAAAGCCTGACTAGTCAGGAAGCAATGCCTGTAAAACCCAGTGGTCACCCAAGCACCCTGTACCTGAAGACTCATCCCGTCACAGCAGTGTGTCCCTTAATCAGTTTTCTAGGAAAAATCCTGCCTTTAGAAAATGCAGAATACAGGTTTGGAGAATTTTTTTAAGCTGTTTTGAGGGATTAGAAAGGAAGCTGGTGACAGAGATGGAGCATGGCACAGATAGGGACTGCAGTGGGACTGGTCTCTTCCCTGGTTCTGCAAGCAGGCACTGTGGAGCTGCCAAGGGCTATGGCTGATCTGAGCAGCTCCCCCTTTGCTGTTCAGGAGGACCCCACTAGTGTTAGAGAAGGGTCCTAGGTGGAATACAAGAGTGACTGCAAGTGGAGTAATCACTTTATCAGTAACTCAGAGCCAGATCTTTGTGCCAGGCACTTGTATCTTATGTGGCTGATTTGGTGGTGGGTCTGACTCTCCTGACCTCTGATGGGAATTTTTAGCAGGTCATTGGGTGTTGTAGGCAGCAGCAATGTGGTACCACTGCAAAGGTAATTTCTTCTGGAATGCAAGCAGTGTCTTTGCATAGCAAAGCACCAAGAGACCTCAGTGCGTTTTGCAGCCACAGCTTTCTAATGTCTCTAGACATTAGACAGGAGTCTCGAGTTTCTGCTTTTTCTGCCACAGGAGGGATGGTGGCACAGGTAGATAAAGGTCATGGTAGAAGCCACTTGTGGAGCTGGAAGCAGAACTTGCATCCCTTGAGCACCTGTGGTTTAACTAGTCTTGACCTTCCTCCTTTCTGCGAGATTACAGTGTTATGGCATCCATCCTTCCCTGTGCCATGTGGCCTGAACCAACGCTGGGCAGAGCAAAGAAGGGGATTTGCACCTGTAAATTTCTCTGTGGTGTCGGCAGTTTTCTACTTTGGCCCTTTGTAGTTAATTGAGAGAGGTCACAAAGATGGCACACACTCCAAAATGTGGGGTATGCTGAGGCTGTGCTGGACTCCAGCTCAGGTGGATCTCTGAGGTTCTGGTGAGGCTTTTACCAGGTCCTGGTGCCAGTGTCATCCTTTCCATGTAGTTCCCCCACCCACTTAACTTGATTCACTTCTTCCTTCTCTTGTCCTCTCTTGCTAAGATTTTGAGCTGTCCAAAGCTGTAAGTCAGCATTTGTCAGTATTCAAACTGGACCTTCTGGTCTCCAGGTGTTGGCAACTGGACTTCTCATGGCTAATACTGGCCTGAAATGCTGTAGCTATAAGCATGTGAAATACTATTTGCAGTAGCCTTGGCTTAACAAAGGACTTAAGGTGCTTGACTAGGCACGCCCTGAGAAGGAAATCTGTGTTGCAGAGCTGTCCCTTATCTGGGACACTTACCTGAGCTGAGGTCAGGCTGATGCAAGGGCGCTCCCCTCTCGGGGAAGCTGGTTTGTTGACCCAAGAATGTGCATTTTTCATGGGATCATTTCATGGCTTACAAATCGATGGTAATGATGGCTGCTGGTCCTACAAGCCCCGCTCCTTACCCAGTGATTGCTGGAGCAAGGCATGTCTGTCTATAAAACTGAGTCTAACCATCGAAAGCCTCCTGAAGGAGCTCTGCATAGACAAAAGCATTCTTTCTCCCCTGCTTCCCCCTCCGGGGACAAGCGATTGTTTTCCTTGCAGTTTAGTGCCAGCATATTATCCAGATGGATTTACCTCTGTCTGAAACAAGGTGTACATGTATTTTGGAGGAGATCATTACCTGCTGCCTTGGTTTTACTGCTGCCTTGTTTTGTCTAGACAGTGCAGAGAGCTGCAAGGAACTTGTCCGATCTGAATCCTAAGACCTACTTTATAGGCTGCTATTAAAATGCATATCCTTGCACGTAACCATCCTGGGGCTGGGTTGCTTGTGCTGTGTGTGCGGCAAGCACGGACACTGAATGAGAAGCAAGCTGCTGTACCAAACCCTATGTGGACTGAGCCTATATTTCAGGGGAATCCTTTGGTAGAAGAAGGCTTTGGCAATGGCAATTCAGAACTGAAGTTTCTCTTCCTTTTCTTTGGACTGGCAGAGAAGTGTTTTTCTAGAAACTCCTTAATTCCCCTTTCGCTCCTCGCCGGAAGGAGCAGTGGGCACAGGCAGATGGTGATAGGGATGCTGGGGAGGTGTGTGGGGGATGAGAAAGGGGGCTGGGAAAGGGCCAGGCTGCTCCAGAGGAGAAGTGCCCAAGCTAAGCACCTTCCTTGGGTTGCTGTGGCAGATGGGGGCAGCCTGGGATGCTGCAGAGGCATTGGTGTCTTTGTTTCAGGTGCTGCTTTGATCCTCACTGATGCTGCTGCTGAGGGCCTAGCTGCTTTCTGAGTAACCACTTATGTTCTGCTTTCATTGACAGTTTCTTCTCTTATCTCTCTCTCTCTCTCTCTCTCTCTCTCTTTTCTGGCCTGCCTTTCCTCCTAGAAATTTCGAGTAGATATGCCAGGATCAGGCAGTGCTTTTATCCCTACGATCAACGCCATCACAACTAGCCAAGACCTGCAGTGGATGGTCCAGCCCACGGTCATCACCTCCATGTCAAGCCCTTACTCTCGCTCGCACCCCTACAGCCATCCGCTGCCCCCACTGTCTTCAGTGGCCGGACACACAGCCCTTCAGCGACCTGGCGTGATCAAAACCATCGGGACCACAGTGGGCCGGAGACGGAGAGATGAGCAGGTAACCAGAGTGTGGAGAGCGGATGGGGGTGCCTCAGAAACGGGGGTACAGAGCTTCCCCACATACACCCTCTCACGGGATCTCCCAGCCCCACAGAGGAGCATTGAGGTCTGTCCCCTGCTCTGTACAGGTTCTGGGGTTTCTCAGGGTGACGTACAGTGAAAGCTGGAGGGTGATTTTATTCTCATTGATGGTGAGACTTACCCAATCTCTGTCGAAGGCTTTGCACCACTGGGCCGCATTGCGGCTCGGTTTCAAAAGCAGGTGAAACTCTGAAGTCGAGCCTTGGGTTTCAGTTTGAGTGTCTCCACCGCTCCAGGCAGAAGGAAACCTCTGAGCAAGCAGAGAAGCTTTCATGTAGGTCCTTCACAAAACTGACACCCAAATTACATCAGCTGGTGTCTTATGTCTGTTCTGTGGGAGCTAGCACTGCTCCCGTCTCACTTCTGGGTGATACCACCCATACCAACCAGCACCATGCAGGGAGGAACAGCTTCCCTAGAGCACCTTGACTCGGGTAGCAAGAGCCTTCTGGATGTCTGGGGTCTACTACAAACGTGCAATCTCTTGATCGCTTTACAGCAGTGAGGTGGGGATCCCATAAGCAGAGATGCTTCTGCTCCCAACCCAGTAGCATTTTCATAGCCAGGATGGGGTGGCTTGTGCCACTGCTGCCCTGTGCCCAGCTTCCTGATGGGATTACTGGGCCAAGACCCTGGATCCTGTGCTGGGGTAGAGGGGTGGACTAGATGCATCTTCTAGAAATCCTTTCAGCCATCTGAATCTCTTCACAGTAAGAAACTGCTTTCTCCAGGCCTGTCTGGTGAATAGCTATCCACAGTGCTAGGCTGATTTCTTCTGAGAAAAAAGAGAAAATGTTAAAAATCTGAATAATCTCTATCTCCCTGAATCGTTCCCAAGAAGCAGTTGTGTGGGTCGCTGCAGATGCACTGTGCGCCCTCCATGAACCAGCACACGCTGTTGCAGGAGGTCTGTTTCTAATAAGACTCACCAGCCCTACTTTTACTTACGAGTCATCTGTTTTGATTCACAGTCTGATTATTTTATGCGGAGTCCCTCTCTGGTTTAGACCTAAGAGGCAGGGAAGGGGTTAAAGATACTTGTCTGGAGTGAGCTGCACCTTCTGTGCACACCCAAGACCTGTTTTTGGGAGGAAGGATGGGGCAGCCGCAGTGGTTCAGGTACGTGCCTTCAGTATGTGCCAGCCCTTTCCACCAGCTGGAGCTACCTCCCGGTTCCCTGCGTGCAGGGCTGGTGTCCAAAGCCAGGGAAGCTCTCACGAGAACTGGGGAAATAATTAGCAACAACTAATTTTTTTGACAAATGCTGCCTCTGTGTTCACAAATTGGCCGTGAAGAGATCACCATATTCTCCGCTTTATTTGTTGTTCAGAGTTATTTGCTGAAGGATGCCTGCCAAGCAATTCCTGGCCTGTGGCTTGTTTGCAAGCCCTTCATTGTAGGTCATTCAAAGCCAAGTCCTTTTGATTAGACACGTGCTAAGGCAGTGCCTGGGTGCTTTACCGTGGCTCTTTGGCTCAGGTTTCCGCTGTTGGTGCTTTGAACACCGCATCGAAGTGCCTTTCTGGAAAACATTGTGTAGCACTTTATGAAAAGAGCCTGTTTGGATGAATGTTTCTGCCAGTGAATGCACGTATTGGGCTTGGACAAGCTACAGATAACGTGTGCAGCAGGGGCATGAAGAGTGCCAAATCCAACCGCTTTCAAACAAATCCAGCAACCACTGACAGAATATTCCCTTTTAGACCTGGCATAACGCTAAACATGTCCAGATCAGGGGCTTCAGCACCATCTATGAGATTTTTGCAAAGCACAGCCTCTCAGAGTTAATTTAAAAATGAATGAAGGTCTAGGGAGGAGAATTGGGTCAGACCAACATATTTCGATGAGGTCTGTGCTTCTGAAGCATGAAAGGGCTCTTGGAAGCTGTGTGCAGAGGCCCAAGTCAGCACAGATTTGTGTGCATGCTTATGGGTTTGCTGTACTGTGTATAATTGTGTGCAAATACATTTTTACCCTGCACATGTACGAGTTGGGAACTGAGCAGGCAGAGCTGCAGCAGGATGAGTGGTGCCCATGGGGACTCCTTACTAGGAGGGAATATGCCAAAGCCCCGCTGGCTGCTGCCCAGCAGGGTGGAGGTACCCCCCACCCTGAGATGGAGTGCCGTGATCTGGTGATGGAAAAGCTTTCTGGCCCAAAGCCTGTGTCCTGAAGTCCTAGAAGTGCTTGTGTCACTTGAAGTGCCGCATCCAAGGGCTCACGCTGTGTGCAGGTGGAGTCACAGGCATGGACCACATTCTGTAAAAAAGCAGAACCGAGTGAGGGGAATGCCCAGAGGCTGAAGTAAACTCCCTGAAACTGCAAAGATCAAAATTAAGGAAATAAACCAAACCAAAACAGAACAGAATTAGGTTGGAGTAAAACTAAAGCTCAGAAGAAAAGACAATAGAAGGGTGGATGTCTCACTTGTGATTTTGACAGCCCCTGAAGATAGTAAAACTGAAAGCTTTTATGAAAAGGCTTTTCTTTCCATTCTCCACTAGCACTACGTGAGATCTGACACGTGCTTTGCAGGGTGCAAGTTTCACTTTTGTTTGTAGTCGCTGGGCCAGAGCCCACGCAGCACACACCAGCCCGGTGAGGCTGAAGTGCGGGGCATGGGGTTGGTCTGCAGTGGAGAGGGATGCATGGCCAAGCACATGCTATGAGTCCCCATGGCTCATGCACCACTATCCTGACTCCTCGGCCTTGATGGGGGGGGTGCAAGCCGATCTGCTGCTGCTGGGATTTGTAAAACCTCGTCTTAAACCCCAAAAGCTAGACCAGATCTTGTGGGCTCCTGCTCACTTCCTCTGGTTTCACAAGAGTGTTGCTGGGTGGGTTTCTATGGAATTGCTCCTGATTTACATCAGTGAGGATGTCAGCTGGCCTCAGGAAGCCCTTGATATCACTGGAGCCTTGCTTGCTGATGCAAGAAGCGCAGTGTGTTATCTCGCTGTGTGCTCAAAAAGTCTAAGGTCAGATTTTTGGGTGGTATAAATCATTGTTACTCCATGAATTTCATGGGAGCTCTGCTGATTTCCCTTTTCCCCCCCCACCCCATCCCTGACCTTCAAGCTAACGACTATTTCTGTGTGGGAAGCAGCAGATATCTTCTTTCAAGAAAGAAACACTTACAACATCATGCTCTGGTTTTGCTTAATGTACCACCCAGGTTGTGAAACAGTCAGAGCATCTTTTATCTGTTTGGCCTTGGTGTAGATTCACTGTCCTCTTACACAATCTTACCTCCCTGCTCTGTCTTCTCCTCGCCCTTCTGCTAAGGCCTGGTGCAGGCAGAGATACTGTGCGCTTTCATCTTCTGCTGACATCAGTGAAGAGGGGGAGTGCCCAGCATCCTGCTGGATCAGGCTTTTTTCTTCCTTTGCGTTGCGGTTGAATCCTCATGAACTTCAAGGAATGCCTTGCTCAGATCTGATTGTGAGTTTTCTTGGCACTTGCCCACAGCTGTCGCCTGAGGAAGAAGAGAAGCGAAGGATCCGGAGAGAGAGGAACAAGCTGGCAGCTGCTAAGTGTCGTAACAGGCGTCGAGAGCTAACAGAGAAGCTCCAGGCGGTACGTGCTCTGCATACATTTCTCCTTCCTTGTCGCCCACCCTTTGGACCAGCTCGCAGGGCATCGCTCTCCCTCCGCTAGTGTGTTTGAGGAAGATGCTGCAAAACACATGCTGCCTTCCCTTTCCAAGGCTGCCCAGTGGCATTGCTCCTACATTAATGGTGGTGAGGGCTTGGGCCTGGAGCTCAGGAGCTCAAATTCCCATTGCTGACTGCCCAAAATGTCCTGGGAGGTCTCTTCCCTTCTAGCCTCCCAACTAGTGTGAGTCTCCCTGCCTCTGGTCTCCTTCTGTAAGTGAAAATAAAGGTGCTGTGTGCCTCAAAGGCAGGCTTTAAAAACAGAAGCACTGAAAAGGGCAGGATCATCTGAAAGCAGTAGAAAACAAGGCAATGTCTACAAAACAATGTCTACCTACCAGAGGTACATCCCTTAGACTAACCTTTCTTTGGTGGGGGTAACTGATTTCCTGCACAAAGGAAGCACCACAGAGATGTGTGGTCTGGTGCCACGGGAGAAATAACTAAAGCTGGAGAAGGTAGGGACGAGCACAAGAACCGTGGGGTGGGTAAGGAACAGGCCGAAGAGGAGACAAGGGTGGGTTGTGTTGAAAGAGGCTGGAGGGAAGGATCCAGCGCTTCTGCTCAAGAACCATCCTGGGGCTGGTTTTATTAGATGATGTTATTAACAAGCACAGCAGCAGCAGTGAAAGCACACAAGTGAAACGTGCTGCTGACTCAAATTTGGGAGGCATTCTCAGTGTAGGGGAGGCAGGGCATCCTATAGAAAGAATTTAAGGATTGCCATGACTGAAGTAGTAGAAGTGAGAGTAATGCACAATGGGAAGTCATATCCTGAACGACTGAGGATTTCTTTCACCAAAGAGCACACAGAGTGGGGCAAGTGTCGAGTCTTCCCCCACCACTGAGGCAGAGCATCCTACTACACTGTGATCTCTGTGAAGTGGTGAGCTCATGTAGGAAGTTACTAACTGCTCACAGATTGACTATGAGCCCTCAGTGTGATGTGACCATGGGAAAGGTAAATATATTAATCTGAGGATGCATCAAGGGGATGCAGTAGAGATGAAAGCATTGGTCCTCTCTCTACTAAGGTGTCTGTCAGGCAGACAGCAATGGGAAAGAGCGAAGTTACAGGCTAAGATAGAGTGGTAGAAGCTGGCTGTGACAAAATTAAGGATAGCTCATGAGAAGACTACTTATAACCCTTAGATTGGTGAAGTTTGGGAAAAGTCTGCTGTTAGACACGTGAAACACAGGATGCTCAGCTGGCAATGACCTGGTGTCTGCTTGGCTTGGGAAGAGTCTGCCAGACGGGAAGTGGACTTGATGACCATGTTACAGGTGAGGAGCAGTTCCAGAGCCTCTGGTATTTATTTATTCCCCTTTTGTCTGCAGGAAACTGAAGTGCTGGAGGAGGAGAAGTCAGTGCTGCAAAAGGAGATCGCTGAGCTCCAGAAGGAGAAGGAGAAGCTGGAGTTCATGCTGGTGGCTCACAGCCCTGTGTGCAAAATCAGCCCCGAGGAACGTCGAAGCCCACCATCCAGCAGCCTCCAGAGCGTTCGGACTGGAGCAAGTGGAGCAGTGGTGGTGAAGCAGGAGCCTGTGGAGGAAGAGATCCCGTCTTCCTCTTTGGTCCTTGACAAAGCCCAGAGATCTGTCATTAAGCCCATCAGCATTGCTGGAGGTTTTTATGGGGAGGAGGCACTCAACACTCCCATTGTGGTGACCTCAACACCAGCCATCACTCCTGGCTCATCCAACTTGGTGTTCACCTACCCCAACGTGTTGGATCAGGAGTCTCCTCTCTCCCCATCTGAGTCCTGCTCCAAAGCTCACCGGAGGAGCAGCAGCAGTGGTGACCAGTCCTCGGATTCCTTGAACTCTCCCACCTTGCTGGCATTGTAATCCCCCTGTGGCCCCCCATTTTGCCAGTGTGTTACATCCCCCCCCAGCACTATGGGGGGAACCCCCCTCCATGGGATTAGAGACAGGCACAGGATCGTTCATGCACAAGGGCAGCAAGAACAACGATGGGGAAGTGCTGCAGCTCCAGAAAGGAGAGCGAGTACCAACACCAGCTCCCTGGAGACAGGAAACGTCAAGGGTGGGACTGATACGCCAGGACTGTTTGGAGAGGGTGATGTCCCCTCTGTAGGGACTGCCTATGGAAACCTCTTCATGGCTGTAGTGGACTTGAGAGTGCTCCTGGCCAGAACTGAAGGCGAGCTCCAGACAGTTGCTAGTCATCCCTTTCCTTTGTGAATTGATCTGATCTGTTGTGCTCTGTGCTTAGATCATTCTGGTTAGTTGATCTTACAACTTCTCTCTTTCTCTTTCTCTCTATCTCTCTCTCTCTCTCTCTCTGCTTGTCATTTCCAATGTTGTCGATCCTATGACATTTCATCCAGTTGCTCTGAACTCTAAAGGCTTGTAAGGAGCTTTCCTCTTGGGACAGGCTGTGGGAAACACATAGGGGTGCCCAGGCAGGAGGGGGATGGCTGGGAGGTCCAGGGGAGAGGTGCCAAGAGCAGCCCGAGGACTCGGTGGCAAGGGCAGAGCTCGTAACTCTGGCTTGGGGCACAGACACAGTGAACAGAGACAGCAGGAGGCTCATGTGGAAGCCTTTCTTTTTTAAATGTAGATATATTTATCCCCTTGGGCTCCTCAAAAAACAAGTTAGCATCTCAGGGCCAAAGTAGCATCAGTAAAGCTGCTGGGCTGGCACTTACCAGTGTCTTTGGCAGAGTTGTACCCCGGTTTGGTGGATATCAAATCTGCTGCTTGTTGTTTACTTTTCCTGGGCTGCTTGCTCTCTAGGGAGTGTTTCATCTTCCTGACTCAGAGGCTGATCTCTTCCTGTTAGTAAATCCTCCCCTCCCCTTGGCCGTATTTGCAGAACATGCAGAACATGCTACTGAAAAAAGTGGCACCATGTGCCTATAAATCTAGGATGGAGACTGGCAGCAGATAAGAAGATGCAACTAGCTGACTGTCCCCTTGCTGACTTTGTTGTTGGGAAACAAAGCAGCACGCATCCACCAGTCAATGCTAGTGGGTGTTGCTCGCTTAGTGATTCCCAGTTTCCGAGGCTGAGGGAAAGGCAGTGGTCCAACCTCTAGCACAGGACAGGCCACAAGGTGCTCCTGACCAGGCAAGGTGTTGAAGTGATGACTTGTTTGAACTAGACCAGAGCTTCTGATAACCTCTGGTTGTTGTGAATGGCAAGTTGACAGTGGAGGAACATAAATTACCATTATTTGCACATTGGTCTTTGGCCTCTGGTATTTTTTTTAATTGTAATGGAACTGGGTTTGTTTGGGTTAATTGGCCTGAAGACAAAAATCAAATCAGAAGAGGGCTCTTCCCTTAGCTGTGGCTCCTTGTCTTCTCCAACCTGTGGGCTTGGATTATTAAGTGCTTACAGAGGGCACAAGTTCTTCAGTGCTGATATTCGCTACTGAAAACAGTAATGTGTGTAACCTGTTGCAGCTTGGAGCCAAGCTCAATTCCTGTTGATGTCAAGGCACGGACAAACCATGACCATATGCACACTAGGATTACCTAGCTTGCCAGCTGAGCTGCTTAGGGGGTAGCTCTTTGGTCCTTCCTGTTAAAGCTGTGGTGGCAGCTGTTTATTTTGGAGTGAGATTTTATTGTTCTTTTTAATTTATTTTTTTTATCAACTGAAACCAGGGTATTTCTTGGTCAGGTTGGACCTGGATAAATGCAATATGTGATTATAGGGCCAGTCCTGTGAGATGCTAAACTGCTGCCATCCCCACCAACTCCACTGGGAATTAACAGGGTTCAGTCTTGTGGAACTGGACCTTCACTAAGCAGGGCTGGCTTCCCTCAAACCCTGGCCACTGCCCATTCCTTGAATCATTTCAAAAGGGACACTACTTTGGCTCTAAAGATAGGCTTTGCTTTTTTATTGTTACGATTTATTTTTAAACACAGGTATTTACCAAACCTACCAGAAATAGAAATACATGAGTGATCTTTTAGCTTTGTAAAGCTGATCATGATTCAGGCCTTTTCTTTATTGCTTAAACACTTCCATCACTATACTGGCGCTAGAGGTTTCAAATTGAGCTTAGACAATAAGTAAAATTGATAAAGGAGTTTGCTTGTCCTTACATGAACATCAACACTTCCTTTTTAACAAAGTAGACCTTAAACGTCCTGATGCTGTTTTCATAGGTTTTTATGTAGATGATATCACTTTAGGTGAAACTGCTGCTTCTCTGTCTCCATTTTGCCAGCTGCTTGTTTGGGCCAGTCTGGATTGAGAATCTAAAACTGTTTAATAAAATGTCTCTGCATGCAATTTCCACCCATTTTGGGCAGGATGCAATGTTGACAAGTGGTGAATCCTGAAGTGATGCAGCTACTTTGGAGGCCAGCTGACCAAGAGATCAGGAGCATTCCTACTCGGGGTTTCAGGAATTCAGGTGCCACCTCAAACTCAAGTAAGCCTAACTCCTAGTGCAACAACAAAAACCTACCTTGGCTTTTGCTCGCTGAATCATTGCCAAAAGGAGCTGCAACTGCCCCTTGCCCACTGCCTTTTCACTGACCTCAGAAATAGGACAGCACAGTCCTCTTTGCTGTCCTGTGATACTGATGGGAGCCATGTGAAACTGCCTAGAAAAGATGATTAGTTTCTACTATCTTGAAAAGGCCCTGAATAATACCTTGTGCCTGCCTGTTTTCTCCCTCAAATCTCTTGGAGGATGTCTGTGTTGGGATTGCTGGTCCTTCTGCCTTCTGTATTTTTTGGATCGGCCTTACCTTTGTTTAGTTTCTGGCAGACAGGTACAGCTTGAGCTCTGCTGCTGTTTTGGTCTGGCCCTGTGTTCTTCTTTTCAGGTTTACTGGCATGTTTTTTTGGGAATTGGCTGTCTTCCCTATCACCAAAATGGTATTTTCCATGAGTACCTTTTCTGTCGATTTGTAAATGTAGAGTGTCTCTATGTTCTGTAGTGGGGATGCAAGAGCTGTTATAACCAGTGTATGACCAAGAGTTGTTGAAGTCAATAGAAAAAGGCCCAGGGAATTTCAGCTGGTATTGGGTCAACCCCATAGTGACTGGCTCAACAAAGCCTCTGGTAACATCTTTAAATTAATCAGTGCCAAACTGGGAGGAGCAGTAGCAGCTGCATTGAAGGAAATATTCAGCTTCCAGGTGATATTTGCCATTCCAGTTTTGCCCTCATTCCTCCTTTCCTGTCCCCAGTTGTGGCATTGCCTTCATCCATTCCTTTCTCGTAGGTGTGGAGACTGGGTAAGTCTCAAACTCCTGGTGGTGTGATGGGATTTGGGACCAGCATGCTGGGAACAGTAGCTCTCTGTTGTGTTTTTATAATTATTATTTAAATGATCTGTTTAGTTCATCTGAATCTTTTATTTTGCTGCTTACTGTATGTAGGATCCACCTGGCCTTCATCCTAAATGAAAAGAAAAAAAAAAACAAAATTAAAACAAACCTAAAGACACTCACCCTCTTCCGTGGTATCTTATTATTTATTGGCAGGCAGTCATCTTGTGCCTGCTCCAACAGATCTGCCCGCCATTAATTTAACGTCCTCGCAACTCGCATTCCTGGTGTTTAGTTGTTTAGCTTTTTTTTTCCTCTTGTTGTTGGGTTGGTGGTGGTTGTTTTTTTTTTCATTCTAAAACAGACTTCTGAAATGTAAGGAATCTTATTATTATGATACTTACAAGTTCATTTTCATTAGGAAGGCCAAGTCAAACATTTTAAGAGGTGGGGGGAACAATCTACATTTTATTTCTTATTTATTTATCATGTTTACATATTTTTTGTTCTGTTTAAGACTTGGATATAATAAAGCAAGCATTAAAAATACTCCAATCTTCTTTTTTCAGGCTAATAATTTTTTCAATTCTTTAAAGAAAAGATTCTGGGTTTTGTTGTTGTCTGTATAAAATGTAAAAAGAGATGTTTCTAAAGATGCATTATCATTCCTCTGTGAACAGTAGGTGGATTTAAGGACAAATCTCAGAATTCAAGATAATAATAAAATCCCATCCTGTTTTACTTAATTGTTCCCCTCCTATCCTGTATGATTAAAGGGTTATTCCACTTTCTTCTTTGTGGTTACTTGATATTAAAACCATATTAAAATGTGTAGAAAATAGATATCCAATTGTTTTTGCTCAGTGAGAGGATAAAATGTTGTATATATCTTGATATACTGTGTAGTTCAAAGTAACATCAGTAAGGGATAGTGCATCTTTATTAGAGCGGTAATTTACTCGTGTCACTAAAGTCCATTTAAGATACTCAGATACAGAAAGGGCCTGATTCTGAGTCCACTCTCCTGGGAGCAAGTTGAAAGCATTGGTAGCATTTTGCTGATGTCAGAGGTGGAATCAAGCTTCAGTGATTAATAGGCAACCGTGAGGATTATTCAAGGTTTGGGGGCACCATTATACTTTTATTTTTTTTTCCTCAAGAGTTTTAGATCATGAGTTTTTTTGTCTGTGGTGAAATAGTTTCTGCCAAGGAGGTTCTTAAAGGTGACTGCTGAACTGGGACCCTTCTTTGCTCGTCATGATCTTGATACCATTCTTGCAGTCCCAGAGAATCTCAGCTCTGAGGCATTCTCCCTGGTGTTCTCTCTCTTTTGTTCTTGTTATTTTACTGTAATACAGGCCTACAGTATTTGCACTAAAACAAAAAGCTTGTTAGAGAAAGCTTGCTGCTATGGAAGAAAGAACATATTAAAATGGTTTTGCTTTTACAATTTTAACTGAGTAGCATTTTGTAGAATAAAATCAATTTAGACTGAAAAGAAATAAAACGACTTTTCTTTTTTCCTCTGCACCTTTTTCCCCCATACTCCTTTCTTTTCCTCCTATTCCTCGGTGGTGTGATGTTC